GACATGAAGCATAGTGGAGGTTTGGGGTCAAAGAAAGGCAGATAACAGGAAGGCCATGTGAATGAAACAGGTATTCCGTAAGTCTTAGGTGCTTGAATTGCCCATACCTCTTTTGACAATGCTTGGGCTATTTATTAACCAAAGAAAATAAATCCATTAGGTCAATATCAGAGTTGGTGACCACTGTGTGATCCCAGACGGTGGTGATGAGTTTGAGGGTGTAAGGATACTATGTTGTACTATAGGTTCCAAGCCATGCCCCATCTTCTCCTTCCCCCTCGAGGAGTCCTGGGGATTTGGAATGTGCCCAGAGACTGAGGTGGTACAACATGGCTGGAACTTGAAATGGGGAAGACTTTAAGAATAACTTATGAACTTGATTTGAGTCCATAGCAGGATTGCAGGGAAGATGATAAAGTTGATGTCCTATTTTCAATACTTGGGGGACAGGGGGAAGACCACCCTAGATGCCATTCATGGTTCATGAAGTGATAGGATTGTTGTTTTGTCTTAGGTTTTGTGACAGAGAGTCATAGAAACAATGTAGATATAGGTGTGTTGATTTTCACAAGGCATGACAATGCCTTTTGCTCTGGCTTATTCTTATTTTTTTATTAGGCAAGGGAAAACAACACAGGGTGATTGTTCCTGCAGTTTTGGGGATTTCTAATTAGAGCAATTACTATACCTATACCTATCCACCAAATGCTGATTAATGCACCAAGGTCAGCCTCATCATAGGACTCTGATAGAAGCCTCCAATGCCCTGCTCTAGTCTCTTGCATTGTCCAGAGTATTATCACTACCCTGGCTGAGAGTTAGTAAGCAGATTTATCACTACCATGGTGGTTGGAAGGGTAGAAAATAGATATAAGGATCTAAACAGACATTCATTTGAGGGCATGATAAAGTAAATTTGACAAAAGATAATTTTTAGAAGAAACATGTCAGGATTCTCTCTGCCCTTTCCCCACTCTCACTCTCTCCATCTCTCTCAAAATAAACTTTTAAAAAAGAAGAAGAAAAATGTCAAATGAGAGATAGTATAGCAGCACCAACTGGAGGAGGGATTGAGGGATTTTAGTCTATTGGAGCCTGCTTGCTTTTGTTTGTGTGAAGTAGTGGCCAAAGGCACTGCTGGATACCTGAGACATGAATCATGCTGACAGCAAAGAAGTGGTGTTTCTTCTCCACTTGGACCCTAGCCACCCACTCCCAGCTGTTGTAGGTTATTGGTGAACACATTTTGATTGTGAAGTTAACATTTGGAACAGGTTCATGTAGAGTGGTCTTATGGATGAAAAGACTTGGATCTATGTTCTCTTGATATGGCAAGGATGAATATGTGAAGAACCCACAGGTGTGTGGGTTGCCTGAGACTACCGAGTTGATAAGTGCTCCGATCTAGGAGTTGTGATTCTAAATCCAGTACCTGTCATCTCATCTCCCTTGTACCTTCCTTCCTCTTGCAGATAAAAGAGGTGTTTTTTTTTAATAGAAATATCATTTTAAAGCTTATTTGTTTTGAGAGAGACAGACAGACAGACAAGCTGGAGAGGGGCAGAAAGAGAGGGAGAGACTCCCAAGCAGGCTGGGAGTCAGCACAGAGCCCGAAGTGGGACTCAAACCTACAAACCAACCACAAGATCATGACCTGAGCTGAAATCAAGAGACTGACTCTCAACCAACTGAGCCACCCAGGTGCCCCGATAAAAGAGTTTCTGATAGACAATACCCAGGTATCTGTATAAGGTTCTCACTTCACCTTCTAAGAAGACTGGTTCACATTCTGATGAAAGGAAGCACCATGCCACAGTAGTAGTTCTGTCCTTGTCTGATGAGGCTGAGCAGTATTCACATCTCGCCCACTTCTTCCTGTATATCACCTGGTTCTTACCTGTCCTGGAAGACTCAGCTCCAGTCCCTCCTACCACCGAGGCTGCTGTAGCCACCTGCAGGGCTCCTCCCACCCTCCTTCCCTGTTCTCCCACTCTTTACCTTCATCCATTCATGCTTCCTTTCACTGATAGCTTTACAAATACTCGAGGTGTGCCTGCTCCTTGCCAAGGCCTGTTTGCAGTGCCTGGATACTACAGGGAACAAACCAGACAATCGAGCTTTTCTCCTAGTTCTCACTGAAGAAAGGGACCTGATGAGGAAGCATAAGGCAAGCTGACAGGCCACAAACACCTCCCTGCCAACCCCAGAGGGGATATGTATGATATTCCTGCCCAAGAACAAAGGAAAGAGGAAAAACAAATGGTTAACTGATAGAGATCATATTCCTGAGGGACCTGTCTCCATCACCCCTCCATAGTGATGTGGGAAACAAAGGCAGAAGGGAATGGCAAAACTAAATTTCCTTATAACCTGCAGCCCATTGACAAATACTTGAGGCTGGCAGAGTAAAATGTTTCTCCAGGAACTCTCTACTGTTTTATTGCTAATGCTTTAAACTACCTTAACTTGACAATATCTAGGCCTCCCCTATCCTGGGAGTCTTCTTTAGCATATGAAAATCTATCTGGAAACTTCCCCTGGACTTTACCTCCCCCAACTCCATAGTATGTAACCAGTCTCCTCATGATTCCTCGGCAGCTCTAAGGGCCCAAGGGTTCTGCCTCATGCTTCAATAAAATCAACTTTTTGCACCAAAGATGTATTCAAGAATTCTTTTGTGGCCGTTCTTTCTGGAACCCACAAACCCCACTATCGTCCCAAAAACCTCATCAGGACCAGCAAAGGCATAGATGCAAATCTAAAAAGTAGTGTTGTGAGTGTTGCAAAAATGAATAAAGCAGGTCAAAGGATTCGCTGTGATGGGGGCGGGGTGGGGAACACTGCTCCCTTAGATCAGCTCTGAAAAGACATCTGATATGATGATGATGTTTAGGAAGAAACTGGAAATACATGAGAAAGTGGAGTCATATGGCTGTGCAGGGGGAGATAGTGCTAGGCAAGAGAAGAGGCATGAGCTGTGCTTGGTGTATTTGGGGAAGAGCAAGGAGTCCTAGAGGGGAGTGAGCATTCATTCTACCACCCTGCTATCGGAACACTTTCTATTATATCTGTCTTAGGGCTACAGACACATTTCAACTCAGCTACTTTGTTGGGAATGGAGTTTGTGAAAGATGATTAGAACTGCCTTGTGAGGATTATAAATTAAGTATATAAAGTATGCATTTTAATGCATATGACATCCATAGGTATATAATGCATATAAAGTGTACAATAGTGTATATATACATATATAATGTATATAAATAACAATTCCTTATAGTGCTGTAGAAGCTTTAATTTTTATCCTTGTTGTTGTCTCCATCACTATTATTTCAATTCTATGCTGAGGAGCCAGAGCCAGAGCAAAGGTCCTTGGCAGGAGCTCTTTCCAATCCTAAGTGAAATTGCTTTTGTTATTTCCCCTGCACTCTTGCTTATACATTGGAATCATTGGGAAAGGCTCTTGTAATTTCTCTGTGAAAGAAATTATTTTTCCTACATAGCCAGAAGTCACTCTGACTTTCCCAGGTGCTGTTTTATAGATTGTGTTTGCATGTCTGGAATGAGAAAGCACTGTGCATTTAATTTTATTTTTAAGACAAAACGTAACAGCCATGGTGGTGCTGATGCTAGCTAACACATGAGGCAAGTTAACCGAGTGCCAAGCAGTGTTCTAAGTCCTTTGTGTGGATTTTTTCTTAATCCTTCTAAGTCTATGAAATATGTAGTAGTATAAACTTGTTTTCTGCTGGAGGAAATGAAGGATTCAGAATGTTTCCATAACTTCCCCCAGGATAGATAACTGGAGGGAAGCCATCTCTCACCTTCCATTGTTTGGTTCTACAACTTGAAAATGTAGATAACCCAAAACTCCTATCTGCTGTGATTAGCTTTTTACCTCATTGGTCTATTGCTTGAAGGGTGTTTAAGGGCTAGGAAAAAGGTGGGAGGTATTTTAATTTTTTCCAGTGTGATTCTGAAATAAGATTTCTAGTCTTTGTGTACCCATCACATGGGCAAGAGGTTAGTGGAGTTTAGTGACCATAGAAAATTAGTCACAAGTAGATCCACAATGGGCCATTTACATCTATTTAAATGGATTTTGGACCCCTTTCCTGAGTGCTAAGAACCAGTGTCATCCTCTGTAAATTGACATTGTTTTGTGATCCTGATACCCAAGTTATTATGAGTTGATCCATGAGGTTATTTCCTACATTTGGCTTTGGGGAACCCCAAGTCTTAATTTGCTGTCAACATGGCCACCATATTTGTTTACAAGTACAGACAAATGGATTGTTATAAAAATCTTTACTTAGGTCCTTTGGTTAAGTTTCACAGAGGCATTCATCTTTTCACTCACTTGCCCCCAAAATGTTTATTGAAGCTAGTATTTCCTTATTTCCTCTTCCCTCTGACACTTTGGCTATTTTGGGTGAGTAACTTACTGAGTCAATGTCTGAAGGTTCTTAGTTCTCAACTTCACTTATAAAGAGACAAAATACATGGGCTTTGGGCTAGGTCCATTTTTTTATGAGAGCATTTAGCACCTCTGGATTCGTCTTTACATTTCAGATAGGACTTTACCTGTGAGTGAAGGCTCATTTCTTTCACAAGTTTCGTGGTTCACAGTGTTCCCTAACTTAAGCTTTTATGAAATAAGCTATATAACTAAAAGGGGATAAACAACTAAAAATATCTGTTTCAGGAAATAAAAAAGTTAACCAAAGAATTTTATTGGTACATTCTTGGACAATATCACAGAATTGAAAGAGAATGGAAAGGGGGAGCTTTTCAGCAAGGGTGTTTTTCCACTAAATTGGCACATAAGCAGCAAGATTAACGAAAGTACTTATTACAAACAGTAAAAAACATACATGCTTTTTTTTTAAAGTCCTTATCACACTGGTCAGTCATAGGGGGGCATGAACAAAACCTCAAGACATGAAAAATCCATATTCTTTTCTTCAAATAGCTTAATCATTATTAAAATTATTGCAAAATATCCATATACCTTAATTAAAATAACAAAAGAGAACACAAATACAAATATTGAACATAAATTATTAACATGTACTGTAAAATACATTACTGGCATGCATTCCAAAGATCAAGACCTCTATTCAGTTCAGCCAATACCTTCCTTTCATGTGACCTATCCTTATACCAAAGATAGGTGGGGCATACTTTCTCAGCACAGTTTTTGGTCTTTAAATATCTTTTTTTTTGTGTTAAAAAAATAACATGATTTGCAGTGGTACTATAATCATAATTATACAGTCATTACGTATGTGGTTTTCATTTCTTTCTTTTTTAGTCTGCCGAGATCTTTTTAAAATTTGAATTGTTTTAAAAATTTTCCAAATATTCTTGTCTGAGAGAATAGGGCTCTATGGAAACAAGGCATTCGAAAACAAACAGTGAACCAAGGTACAACATCAGATGGCAAAGTGCAAAAGTCCTCACAAACTGTACAGAAAATTTCAAAACCTTGCAGTCTGGAAATACATACGTAGAAAGACAGATCAGCCCCAAAACGTTCTCTGTGGCTCTCAGTGGTTCATCCTAAAGAGCCTGGATGGGACTTGAGTCTCAACACTCCCTATGGTAGGGAAGGTCCAAAATTGCAGCCGAGTTGGCAGTGCTGATGCCAGTGACTTATTAAGCCAAGATAAAGTAAGAATATTTCATAAAGCAGCTGTGTAGGACACTTGGATCCTCTAACGTTGGTCTCCTGGCCGGGGATGCTCCTCCAGTGATGGGCAGCAGGCAGGACCAAAAAAGTCCTATGCCAGGTTGGGTGACGAAATAACTGAAGGTCTTCCTCTTCCATGGTTCCACAGAATGAAACAGGTTAGATAACCAGGTTATTATAACTGACATACTTCTTTTTTGCAGCAGGGCCTGAAAAAAAAATATAAAAGGGTCAGTTGTAGCAACGACCTTATTTGCAAAGGTGGAAACAGAATTAGATCTGGAATGACCTGGGTGCAAAGTCAAGATAGAACAGTGCACCATTGAGGAACACACAAATCACTTTGGATTCCTATGACTTTTTGTAAGGTTTTGTCTGCTAAAATCTGCAGTATCCAGCAATTCTCAAACCGTCTGTGTTCTGAGATGTCTCCAATTTCCCTCTTTATGGTTTATGATAGTTAGTAAATTAATAGTGGATGCCATGCTTTCTAATTAACCAACCTTAAGCTTAAAGAGCATACTCATGTTGCAATATATTTTGTTGTGTGATCTTCTCCCAGACCTTCTCATAAAAAATGGTCTTTGCTTGGGAAAGGTCTGTCCTGGGTCACTGGGATTCATTTTGGTTGACTGCAGATTAGGTCAACTAGAGTACCTTGTTCAGTTAGGATTCACCACAATCAAATTACTGTTGACTGATTTTTACAGAGTTATCATCAGTAAGTTGTAAATGGTAATTTGTGGAATTCTTTTCATCAAAATTTGAGGCTAACTTAAATTTCAACATGCATGCCCTACATTTGTTTCCCTTAAGTGCAGAATAAATTACTTTGCTCTTTGGCACAGTAATTCTGGGACCCAACTCTACTCATACATTCATGCATTCATTCATTCATTCATTCAGGAAGTACCCATCAGTTGCCTACCATATGCTAGACATGGGGCTAGGCACTGAACAGCTGAGGCACAAATCAGACCCATTTCTGTTCTCAGGTTCTCAAGATCCCAAAGTATAACTCTGATTTATATTCTAGTTCTCAATACCAAGTAATATAATTGCTGTGGTGATATGTTCTTTATTCATTAAATCTCAGTAGTTTTACATTATCTTCTGTTGGACACAAAGTAACTGTCAGGGAGCATTTACTGATGGCTTATTTTACTTATGTTTTTTACTCTAAATCGTATTGTTCATTTAATACAAACAAGTAACAAGAATCTTCCAAAACTCTTAAGTAGGGATTCATATAGGCATTTAGAAGAATGGAGAAGCCACAATAACACACTGAGAGAGTTTGTATCTGAACTTTGAGTACATAATGCAGCCAGTATATTACTGATCCATACATGCATGTGTACACTACACAAAAAGACAGATTTTCTGGACTAAAACTTTATACTATGGTTCTGACAAATTCTGATCTGAAGACTTGGAATCTTTATGAAATCACATTGCATTTATTAACAGAAATTAGAGGAAAAATAGAATTATATGAAATAGAAGGTCTTCTGGAAAACCTGGTTATAAGACAGGTCATGATGCATCCTCCTAGATAAATGTATGGTGCCAGCAATGCCCCAGTCTTCTAAGAAGATTCCCACTGTTATTACAGCCTTTACTGTCTTCATTGTTATGCTCAGTTTGAGTATAAAGAGAAAAGCTTTCTGAAAATGCTTTCTTTGCTCTGAAGCCTATTTACAGAGTCATGGCTAGAAAACTTGGAGCAGATAGTTGCAAGAAATAATCACAACCTACCTCATCAAATGCCAATATACTAATTATCCTCAGGACAAAGTGGGAGAAATCAAAGAAACTCAGAGGCTTAAAAAAAATCTAAATATCTGAGACTGTCTCTATTGTGTAAATATTGTGTGACTGTTTTCCCTATAAGCATAACTGTCTAGTGAAGAAAGCAAAACACATTTCCAATTCCTCAAACAGGTTATTTTAAAATACCAGTTTCTCCAGAAGAGTGTTCAGCAAAAGAATAAATAAGTTAGAATATAACATCCTTACATTGTACAGCTGAGTACTGGTTTGCATTAAACTATCATTATGATGTGGTAAAAATTTTGAAATGACAGTAGTGGAAATTCACTGATGCTTGGCATGGATTATCTTGTGTTTGCAAGCCTTGAGATGAGTGCATTCATGATGGCCACCTTACATAGGAGAGGTGAGGCTCGGAGGGACCAGCATTCCAAACCAAGGCTGATGTTTGAATATAAAGTTTGCTCTCCATACCCATAGTTGGAAGGCTGTGCTTCATTTGGACTTACCTGCTCTAGGTTCTAATTCAGCTCTATCACTTACTTGAGGTGTGACCTAGATCAGTCCAATGACACTGAACTTCTCTGAGCCTTTGTAAAATAGGTAGGATAAATCTCACCCTGTGGTCTGTTAATGGCATCAATGTATGAAATATTCCAGTTTCTCATCTGGTAACATAATGCATGAAAGTATTTTTATTAATTTTTACTTTTTACATAATTTTTAAATGTTTATTTGTGTGTGTTTGTATACGTGTGTGTGTGTGTGAGAGAGAGAGAGAGAGAAAGAGAGAAAGAGGGAGGGAGAGAGGGACACAGCATGAGCAGGGGAGAGGCAGAGAGACAGGGAGACACAGAATCTGAAGCAGGCTCCAGGCTCTGAACTGTGAGCACAGAGCCCGATGTGGGGCTCAAACTCATGAACCATGAAATCATGACCTGAGCCAAAGTCTGCTGCTTAACTGATGGAGCCACCCAGGCACCCCCATGAAGATTTTTTAAAATTACAAGGTTTTATACAAATGATTAGCCTCAGTTCATGTGTTGTTTGTAGAATAGCTGGGGAACATTGCAGCAAAATGGTGATGTGCTTGTGCAGGCCCTAGAATGGCGATTTACGTGCTGCTCAGAGCAGTGTCCAATGTATTATAATGTTTATTTTTAAAATGTTCTAGCCTTATGAGTAAATAAGATAAGTGCCTGTGGTGTCCGATAATTCTATTTATTTGAATAGCAATGTAGTTTATGGCCTAGAAAAGATAATTGCTTAGCTCAAAATAGTTGTGCAGTGAAATAGTTTCTAAGGAAATAAACTTTTGTAATTTTAAAGTGGAATTTTTTTTTCTTGTAAAGTTACAAGTTTTAAGGAACATTAGGAGCATACAGCATGGTTCCTATCAAATTTTTTAAAGTTATCTACATCAGTAGTTTTCAAAGTAAGGCATCTCGAAGAGTTAATGTTTACAATAAGGCAGTGTTGTGGACACAAGCTTTTGCAATAAAGTTCTTTGCTACTTAAAAAAAAAATTAGACATTCCAACTAACTCTTGGTGTATTGTCAAAATCAAACTTGTTTGACATTAACTTCAGTGAATGTCAGTGTTTTTTTCCTTTAATTTCTCCCGATCCTGCTTGTCTCACACAGTATTTCATTTCTCAGGTGTGTTCCATAGAATACTTAAAACCCCAACTATAGGAAGTAAAGGAAAAAAGGGGACAAATGGACAAGAAAAAGAGTCTTGTGGATATTATAAGAAACATTGAATTATGGGAAACAAATAACTATAAAATTTTGAATGAATAAGATAAAATAGGGTTCTTTTCTCGATTCCATATTTTTTAAATAATAAGGAATTGTTTAGTTCATTAACAACATGCAATGTTTCTGTGAGCTCTTTTAAAAAATTTAAATGTGTGTGTAGATATGTATCCCTATCAGTGTGTATGAAGTGATTCACACAGCCACACAAATTGTAGACAATAATACATCACAGCCTTGACAATAACATATTAATGTATTAACATCTCTGCTTCAGGTGCCTCTCCACCAGCTGTAGGAAGTAAAACGCTGTCAGTCTCCCTTACTTCCCCATCCTCACTGCCAGGCTCCCCTCATTGCCTTCCACCAATGCTATTATTCTGATGTTCCTATGCCTCTGTCCCAATGAGGTTCATGCTGTTGCAGTACATGCAGCTGCCCATAAACTAGAGAGAGTTTTGCTCTGTGTTTTTTAAATTATACAAAAGTGATACCATTCCATGCATAACCATTTGCAACTTGTTTTTCATATAACATTGTAGTTTTAATATTAATTTATGTTGATTTGGTAATCATAGTTACTATATAGCTTCTTTTTTTTTTAAATGTTTATTTATTTTTGAGAGAGACAGAGACAGAGTGTGAGTGGGGCAGAGTCAGAGAGAGAGGAAGACAGAAAATCTGAAGCTGGCTCCAGGCTCTTAGCTGTCAGCACAGAGTCAGAAACCGGGCTCAAACCCAGGAAACAGGAGATCATGACCTGAGATGAAGTCAGCCACTTAACCAACTGAGCCACCCAGGTGCCCCATATAGCTTCTTTTTATAAATATAGCAAAGATTTCTGTAATTCTTTTTTTATTTGGTGGACTCGACTTACTTTATAATTGTTTTCAATAGCAAACAATGCTGGAGTAAATGGAGAAATGAAAACCAATACCATTTCTAAAGTTAAATTATAAAGCTATTAACTAGGAGATACTATTTGCAATATATTTAACTGACAAAGGACTGTTATACAAAAATGTTTAACTTCTACAAATTAGTAATAAAAGAATCTAAATTTTTAAAAATGAACTGAAGGTCTGTAAAGGTGATTTGTGGATAAAAATATACATCAAAAGGGCTCAACCTCATCAGTTAGAAAAATGCAAATTAAAATAATAATAAAATAGCATTTCATGCCCATCATTACGAAATAAAAAGTGTATTTGCACTGTATCATGTACTGGTGAGGGTGGAAGGAAGTGGGGATTCTTCAACTACACTGGTTGGAATGGAAATTGATAAAATTGCATGAGAGAACCATTTGAAAATACCTAAAAAAGACGATGGACTTAGCAACTTTATTTCTACATATACACCTGAGACACTTTTTTGTATGTTCACATGGAAGTTGTGTGGGACTTCCAGTGCTGTTAATATAATGATGTGATTCTCTAAGAGTGAATTCTCCTTTAGGGGCTGGGCATATAACACGAATGAACAAAGTGGGTCACTGTAAAATGTTAAGGAATAGCATGGACCCTGACCCATTAGAAAACAAGTGCCCTGGGGTGCCTGCGTTGCTCAGTAGGTTAAGCGTCGGACTTCAGCTCAGGTCATGATACCGACCGAAGTTTGTGAGTTTGAGCCCTGCGTCGGCCTCTGTGCTGACAGCTCAGAGCCTGGAGCCTGCTTC